CCTCTCGTTGTCAGACTCAGACGAAGCCAGGTCTCTCAACTGGGAGAGGAGAGGAAAGGAGAGGAGAGGAGAGGAGAGGAGAGGAGAGGGTTGTGCCGTGCGGCCATGGAGCCCAGCACCTTTTCCAGAAACATGGCCCGTCTCTCGAGGGTTGAACGCCAAAGCTGGCGACAGAACTCGCACGCCTCGGGGTCCGCCAACGCTCTCCTGGCATGGACAATACCCACACAGACAGGACACGCTTCGTGCTGGTCTTTGTCGTGCAGGGAGAAGCCGCACCCCTGAGGACAGGGGCGAACTGAAGACTTCTTCCTCAACTTAGGTTTGGTGCTCATATCAAAACACAAAGCACACGACTTTAGCAAGAAAACTCGAAATCAGCACTCCGCGGGCAGTCACACTCATTACGGCAGTAGCGGTGGCTAACACCAACAAAAGCAGTTAAACCAATTCCAAGCCGGCAGTGATGACAGGTGTTTATATGTGTAGGCAGGGCCTCACGTGTCATCACAGATCATCTGCCGTAAAGGCGTTAATAGAGGTGTCTTCAGTAAGGTCACACGGGGCGTGATATCCCATACTATATGTGTTGTACCGAGTGAATCGACTGAAAGGGAACCTACTTTGTACTATTTAAATTTTTGCCTAGACTTTAATTTGGTATTTTGTAGTAGTTGTTTCCTTTCTATCTATATTTATCTAACAGACAGTATACTGTATATCACAGTGTTGACATCAAAGCCGACCAGCCAAAAACAACCATGTTAGCAGTTTTAGTTGTTTTCGGCAAAACTGAAATTCAGCTGGAAGCAACAAACAGCGCCAATGTAATCTTTCAATGTACATTCTGTTGTGTTGGCATATTTACCCAGAATAGAACAATGTTGATATATATATAGATGTTAATGTTTTCAAGTTTTTTAAGTTTTGGAGAGAATACAAAAAAACCCAAAAAATCTTGGCTCTCAGTCAGACGTTGCCGACATGTTAACTTATTGAAGGTAATAGCTATTGAGATTGAGTGTGTGTGTGTGTGTCAGTGCATTTCAGTCCTACTTTTGAATTGTCCTCCAGGTCCTTGTTGTTTAGCAGGGCATGGTTGGTCCTGAAGACGATCCAGTCAAACAGTGCGCTGTACAGTGACTTGGCCATGGAGTCCCTCACTGTGCCGGCCTACACACACATACACAACAGGTTGGTTCCTCCGATCAAAAACATATGGATTTCATAATCTGGAACAGGAGCCAATGCTGTGAATGTATTTTATCACTCTCACTAATAGCCATACTGAAGTAGCTCAGCATTTGTGCTCAGCCATTTTCACAGTGGTGCTGTCCTTCACAATATACAACATACCAAGCAAACAACAACAAAAAAATCGATGCTACGTAGACAAACACAAGCATCTCCTCATACAACACCTCTGTCAGCTGGACAACATTTCTCTATAAAGAAAACCGTTACAAATCCCCGCTGAAAAATACATCAGCCTTAACATTTGGTTATTTTACCGACTTGTGTTTAGGAGGGGCAAGCATCGTTTTGGATAAAATAGGCAATTTGTTAAGGTTAAGGAAGCAACAAGGTTTGGATCAACATAACTACTA